TTTTTTTTTTTTTTATGTACACAAAACATACAGAAAATATACACAGCCTTTCTCGTTTCCTGGGTCTAGAGTCCTCAACTGCTCTCTCTCTATGCCATCGCCTCTGCTTCTGTCTCTGCTTTTCTGGTTAGGATCCATCTCCATAATACTTTTAATGGCTGTAGTCTTATGGTGCTAAGGACAATGTTCTTATCAAAGTAGACCCGTGGTACCACTGGGTGGATTTGAACCGTCAGCCTTTTAGTTAGTTGTTGCTGTGCCATGGATTCAGTTCCAACTCATAGCGATTCTGTACAGGGTTTGTGAGGCTGTAAATCTTTATGGGAGCAGAAAGCCTTGTCTCCTGTGGAACAGTTGGTAGTTTCAAACTGCTGACCTTATGGTTCGCATCCCTCCCTAACCACTAAGCTAGTCATGTGCAAATTTTGCACCACCCAAGGATCTACATTTAACATGTTGTTAAATGCTATTGAGTTGATTCTGACTCATAGTGTCCCTGTATAGGGTTTCCAAGGAGTGGCTGATGACAAACTTGCAGTTAGCAATCCAATGCTTATCCTACAGCAGCACACCAGAACTTAATCATGTTGTGTTGTTGTAAAGTGCTGTTGAGTCAGAACTGTATTTCCTAGGAGTCACTGGTGAGTTTGGGCTGCCAACCTTGCAGTTCAAATGACCTTGCAGTCCAGTGCTTATCCTACAGCTCCACACAAAGACTCCAGGATTTATCATAGGGCTTCCTTATTTATAAAGCAAAGAAATCAGTGTACTTGAAATTAGTGTGGTTATTTTGATAGTCTGTGATCTTCCCAAGAATGCCCTTAGATTCATATGTATCTAACTGTGATTACAGTGTTGAGAGGTGTGCACTTTAGAGATTATGTTGAATATTATCTTTGTTACAAGGATTTATTATTGAATAACATAGATAGCCTCTGGCAAACAATCAAAATATTCTGCAAGAATTTAGAAAAATAATCTGGCAGGATGCAGTGCAAGAAGTTAAGTTTTAATTTTTGAGGACTAACTGTCACATCTATAATTGAACCTATTTTCTTTCCCTTTTTGTAGTTGCAGCAATAGTTTTATTCTGTTACGCTTCTAGTCCACATAGCATACCTCTGACGGAAGTGATTGGGCCGATATGGCTGATGCTACTCCTGGGAACTGTGCATTGCCAAATTGTTTCAACAAGAACACCTAAACCCTCTCTAAGTACAGGGGTTAAAAGAAGAAGGTACTGTCTGTTTAAAAGTGATCATTTTGTAGATTTCTGTAATTTGAATGTAGGATTATCCTTATCTGTTTTTAAATGTTACCTTGTAAAGTTGACTCTTTCAAAGTAAACACTGAGCCCCAGAATCAGCTACTAACTTAGTTTCTTTGTTTGCTCTATGATCATTTTGAGACCACATGCCTATTATGTATTTATTTATTGAAACTCATTTCTAGTAATCTAATATCAGAGTAGGGAATTATTAGCTCAAGTTACTAATAGTTCCCACCACTTAAAAAATCTTGAATTTCTAAGGTGTTTTAGGAAAAAATAACCAAAAAGAAATTTTAGTTAAACCATAGTTAACAAATGCTATTTGATGTTGTTTAATAGCGTTCTTTGATTAATTAACTATAGCAAGTCTCATTATCCACTAAGTACAATGGAGTTTTGTTTTTAAGGGTCTTTTGGAACATTTAAAATATTGTTTGGAGCTAACACATTGCAATTTTCAGTTTTTAAGTATTGAGATTTTTGCACATAACCCTATCTCATTTTTAAGAGATTATTCCTATGTTAAATAGATAAAATTACTGATTCATTAGATTATATTTCTCTAATCTGAGTTTTCTTCTTTCTTCATCTACAGATAAAATGGCACTCAAATAGGGGAGAAATACTTTTGTAAATATCTTTCCAATACAATCCTTATAACCTGTTGTTCACTGACCTATCACTATGAGCAAAAATAGTATCTTCATGTTTATAAAAATTGGTTTTGAGACTGTAACGTGACATTTAAATTAAATTTTATATAGTAAAATCTAAATTTTATTATGCATTATAGTTCCTGTCTTATGTTTACCAAACTTTTGAATGCACTACAGCGAAATTGGTTGTTAAAATTTTAAAGCTACCTTCAACTCTTAATCTTTTCTGATGAAGGAAATTAAGAAAAGCAGTCCACTTGGAAGTACATAGAGAAGGAGATGGTTCTAGTACCACAGATAACACACAGGAAGGAGCAATTCAGAGCCACAGTACAAGCACCTCTTACAGCCTTGGCACTATCTTCAGAGATCTCTGGCATGCTGCTTTCTTTTTATCAGGGTTTGTATTTATTCAAGGCTTTATTTGGCATAGAGATACAGTATCCCTTTTCAGGCATTTCATTCTGAATGAATGAGTGAGTATTCATGACTTTCAGTATGATGACTTCATTATTGTTTTTATTTTGGTAAGTTATAATGCTATTGATAATGGAAAAATAGAGGCCATAATGCTTCTTTGGGATGTATCCAAATATATGAGAATGAATAAACAGCATAATAGTCTAGTTAGTTAAAATTGTTTGATTTGGGTCTCTTTTATCTTTGCAAGTACTAGATTTCTTCTACACACTGTTGTATTTGTATCAGCACTGTAGGTCAAAATTGGCTTTATTAATTAGTATGTGAGTTGTATGAAATTTTATCTTCTGACTGCCTCAGTTATCTAAAGTTAAGCATATAGGCATTGATATTTAAAAAAATAAAGTATGTACAGTAGTATGGAATTCTACTTTTGTACATTAGACTTTTTATGTAGTTTGCATAGTAACATCAATGGAGATTTAGCTAATAGGGAAATAACAATTACAGCAAACTTCAGAAATAAACCTGACTCAGTCTTGTTTTAATGTAAATTCTTAATTCAAAACAGTTAAGGATTTTATTTTGCTAAGTTATATACAATTTGTATAACCGTTGTATATTTGAAAAAAATTAATGCTGTGATCAAAATACTGAGAAGACCTGATGATGGTTGCTAAGGAATGCTGCAAATAACTGTTTTCTGTCACTTTCGTTAACTCCTCTGCTAATATGTGTTTTCATCAATTTGTGATTGTATTCTTATTATCATGCGCTATGTAACTGTGCACTTTGATTTGAGAGTTGGAAGTGATTAAGTATATTCCCAACCATCTACTTATTCTTTCTCAAGTGAAAGTTCGTTTTGTTTTATCCATAGTTTTATCTGTGTTTGATCCCATCTTTACCTTGCTCCCATTCATGTTTTTTTCAACTGGCTCTTCTAGGGTCTGTATGAGTTGAATTTGACTTCATGGCGGTGAGTTGAGTTTTTTTGGTTTTTAGCAGTAGGAAGTGACAATTTTCTTTATTACAAAATAAACTTTGAAACTTTCACATAAGCAACTATAAATAGTATAGTGGATATGTTTTCTTTTCTGGTAATTATTCTTGTGTTGGTTTTCCAAAATTGATGTTTGAGTTCCGATATGGTGCTGTGGGATAATGCACTTCTTGATCACAAGGTCAGTTTGAACTGCAACCTCGGCAGTTCAAATTTACCAGCCGCTCTTCAGGAAACCATATACAGGGTTGCTATGAGTCAGAACCGACTCAATGGCGCTTAACAGCATAGTAGATGTATGTCTTTGGCAGTCTACCATGTTTATCTACTCACACAAGAGCCAGACGTCAGTTTTCCTCCCTTTGGCTGTAGCATGACCATGACTACCAGTCATTGATAATGCAGTATACTCTTCATTTAGTCATTCTAATAATGAAAAGTACGTACCTATAAATGTTTTAAACAATATACTGTTTTCAGTGGTCTCATTTTAGAACAGGATCTCTATGAGTTGGAACTAACTCAATGACACTTAAAAACAACAACAAAGTACATCTCATTTAAAACATAATACCATTTTAAAATGCAAGTCATAATATTTTTCATGTGAATTATTGTGAAATAACTATGAACCTGAGGAAATGAAGCCAAAGAATAAATTTTAAATGATATTGTTGTTGTTGTTGTTGTTAAGTGCCATCGAGTCGGTTCCGACCCATAGCGACCCTGTACAGGGTTTCCGAGGGTGTAAATCTTTACGGGAGTAGAAAGCCTCATCTTTCTCCCGCGGAGCGGCTGGTAGTTCGAACCGCTGACCTTAAGGTTCGCAGCCCAATTCGTAACCACTATAGAGATCAATAATATTTTCTAAGGATTTAGTACCTGAGTTTCAATTATTTACCATTATTTTGCTCAAATAATATGTGTATCGTACATGTTTTGCCTCTGTACCTATTCCCTAAGTATTTTCATAAGCACAGTATAATAATTTTTTCAACAACATGTTAAAAATCACATTGTATGCTCACAAAAATACACTGAGGGGAGAAGCAGTTGGTAAAAATAAATAATGTGAACATTATTTGCATAAAAATGCAGTATGAGGGATCCATGGAAACATTTCATTATCTTTTAATTCCATTTTTCTGTGAACTTTTGAAATCCCTTTGTATTTATCTTAAAATAGCATAATTATAGTTTTTACAGAAAAATATTTAGCAGAAAGAATTATATCTGGTTGTGTATTTCTTTTTGACATAATACTGATTTCTGAATTCAGATAGACAAATTTTCTTAAAATTCACTTGTCCATAGCAACATCACTAAAAGCATATAGCAAATAAGAATTAGTGTATATATATTGACGTACTGTGAGGGTCACTTTGAGTAAGAATTGACGCAACAACAGTTGCATGCAAGTAAAATTTGCTGTAGATAATTCAGAAAAGGCTGCAGCAGTACATTGACAGGGAGCTGCCAAAAATTCATGCCGAATTCAGAAAAGGACATGGAATTAGAGATACCATTGCTGGCATCAGGTGGATCTTAGCTGAATGCACATAATACCAGAAGGATATTTACTTGTGTTTTATGGACTGTGTAAAGGCATATGACTGTGTGGATCATAACAAATATGGGTGATATTGCGAGAACGGAAATTCCAGAGCACTTCATTGTGTTCATGAGGAACATGTACATAGACCAAGAGTGGTCGTTCAGACAGAAAAAAGATACTGAATGGTTTAAAAGAAGGAAAGGTGTTGAATCCTTTCACCATACTTATTCAATATGTATGTTGTTGTTAAGTGCCATTGAGTTGGTTCCGACCCATAGCGACCCTGGATAGGGCTTCCGAGGAGCAGCTGGTGAGCTTGAACTGCCAACCTTGCAGTTCAGATGGCTTCGCAGTCTGGTGCATTAACCCACAGCGCCATACCAGGACTCCTCAATATGTATGTTGAGCAAATAACCCTAGAAGATGGATTATATGAAGAAGAACATGTCATCAGAATTGGAGGAAAACTCATGAACAACCTACAATATGCATATGACACAATGTTGCTTGCCAGAAGTGAAGAGAACTTGAAATATTTACTGATGAAGATCAATGTAGATTAACCTCAATGTAAAGAAAAAAATTCTTACAACTGGACCAATAAATAACACCTGGAGAAAAGACTGAAGTTGTCAAAGACTTCATTTTGCTTGTATCCACAGTCAGCTCTCATAGAAGCAGCAGTCAAGAAACCAAATGATGTATTGCCTTAGAAAATCTGCTGTGAAAGCCCATTTTAAAGAGTTAAAGACCAAAGATGTCACTTTGAAGACTAAGATGTGCCTGACCCAAGCCATGATATTTTCAAAAATGCCGCATATGCAGTGAAAGTTAAACCATGAATAAGGAAGACTAGAAGAATCAGTGTATCTGATTTATGATGTTGGTGAGGGATATTGAAAGTACTGTGGACTGACAGAAGAACAGACAGATCTGTTTTAGAAGTACACAGCCAGAATCCTCCTTAGAAGTGATTCTGTGATATAGAAATGGTAGTCTTTGTGTTTGATATAATAGATTTGGGATTTTATTAGCCAACAAGTCCTTTAAAAATTGTGTTAACTTTCTGGATAAAGTTTTCATGTAAAAAATATATCCTGTTTTTTATTTATATATGGAATAGATTGTGTATTTACTTACATCTTTTCAGAAAAGACTAAATAATCATTTAGCTCACTAAGGAACAAAAGTAATTATATTGCATATATTCCTAATGGCCATTTCCTCCTAAGAGTAGCCTTAGCATAGAACGACTACAAAGGGAATCTCAAGCATAATGCCCAAATCCAAACCCTCTGCTGTTGAGTCAATTCTGACTCATAGCAACCCTGTGGGATACAGTAGAGCTGTCTCACAGGTTTCTAAGGCTGTAGCTAGTCTTTACAGAAGCACACAGTCAAATATTTCTTCTGTGGAGTGGCTGTTAGGTTCAAACTGCTGACTTTTAGTTTACAAGTGAACACTTCTGGTTAGTAAATGCTTCTGTCAAGCATAATACTTTTAACAAAAGTTTATACAAGTCATACCTTGCAAAGATTAAAGTGTAAACTTGTTATAAAAATATGAACCTTGACCATAGTAATAAAGTTACACATTGTTTTTTCAAATAGCTTCTATTCAATACAGGAAATATTGTTTCTGTCATGGAATAAAGAAAACAAGTGTAGCATCATATGCCTCCTATTTGAAAGATACTACTAATGATTTGTTCATTTCAAATAGCTTCTTTAGACAGCATAAGAGACGATTATACACATGGACCTTACCAGATGGAATACATAGAAATCAAAATGACTACATCTGCAGAAACAAACGATGGAAAAGCTCCATATCATCAGTCAAAACTAGGCCAGGGGAATACTGTGGAACAGACCATTAATTACTCCTATGCAAATTCAAACTGAAGCTGAAGAAAATGAAAAAAAGTCCATGAGAGCCAAATATGACCTTGAATATATTCCACCTGAATTTAGAGATCACCTGAAGAACAGATTTGATACATTAAACACTAAAGACCAAAGACCAGAAGAGTTGTGGGATGGCATCAAGAACATCATTCATGAAGGAAGCAAAAAGTCTTTAAGAAGACAAGAAAGAAGGAAAAGGTCAAAATGGATGTCAGAAGAGACACTGAAACTTGCTCTCCAGC